GAGAGGAGAATGGAGGAGAAGGGATTGCGGCGTGACCATCCCCCCTGGGGGGTGATTTCTCGCTTTCTGTCTCTATGTCTCTCTCTGTCTGTCTGGCGAGCGCACGCGCCCTACAGTGAAAATCTCTCCAAAAAAAAAAAAAAAAAATCTTGTCTTCTTGAAGGATTATTTAATTTTTATATATTATTACTTTTTAATTTGACCAGAGAGAGAGAGAGAGAGGGAAAGTGAGAAGTACCATGGGCGGCCATTTGGGAGTCCAGCGCCCCAACCACCATGCCGCCTGCCAGCCTCCATCCTTCTTAAAATCTTAAGAATTACAAAGCAATGGAAAGAGATAATTTTTCATTTTGTGGTCCTTTGTCACTTATTGTTAGCCTCTTTGGCACATACGAGCATCTCAAAGCCACCAGAGAAGGAATGATGAGACTAATGTTGCTTACCTGGCTCAGGAGTAGGGCTCCTCTGGCTGTGGTGCGTCAAGCTGGGTGTTCTGGTCTGGGTTTTGTAGAGCAGACACTGGATTGTCTACTCACCATTCTCCCTCCAAGACTCTGATCAGCCTGTGGTCCTCTGGCAGTCCTTCTTGTTCTATTGATCTTGACCTTCTTTGGTCACCTATGGGCACAGTTTTCTGCTCAACTCACTGACAGGACTGATCACAATAGTCTTTTTTCAACTCAACTCACCTACTGGTAGGTACATTCCTCCAAAGAGTGTCAACTCCTGGGCTATTAGAAGTCCCCTTTATTCTATTAGAGGCAAGATCTTCTCTTGCTTTTTGGTCAAATTTAGAAGAAAGATTCAGAAAAGTTGACATCTAGCCCTAACGGCAGATAAGTGACACCAGGAGGTGCTGGGTGGGTGCAGCCAGTCCCATTCTGTGTGAAGAATGTTCTTTGCAGCTGTGTAGATGGGAAGGCCTAGGAATAGGCTGGCAGTCCTTGCCTTGTTGTTTGTGTTCTGCTGTCTGTATGTGCTGGCTGGTTTTAGCTCAGTAAGGAGAGGCCTCCTCCACACCTAGTGAGGACAAAACAGGTTGTATTACACTTCTGGACAGCCTGCCTCTCCCTTTCCTATCACTTAAAACTTCCCATTTTAAGGTGTACAGTGCACTCATACTAGTGCACAGTCATCACTGCCGTCTAGTTCCAGAGCTTTTTTTCCCCACTGTCAGAGGGCGTGCGTGCTTGCTAAAGAGGAAGGACAAAAGCACTTTCTCAATAGATCGTGGTCACGCGCATCCCTTCTCCTCCCTCTCTCCATCCCGTTGGGATCTTGGGCACCCACACATGCCCAGTGTGTTTTCAAGCTGCCACGGCTGTGATTCAAACTGTGGTCACACGTGCGAGATCTGGCTCCCTTAGCTCCTGGGCTCTGGGGCCAGTCCTGAAGGGTATCTGTTTTAATTCGTATTTTGTGTTGCAATCGTCTGTGAATACTTTGCTCTTTCTTTCTGGACTGTTGGCTGACAGTAAACAATTACAAAATGGGGCCAATATACTCTTCAAGAGCGATTGATTTGTGGAGATTTTAATGCATTGCTCAAATCTTTCTTCATATAATATTGAAATTCTCTTTTTTTTTTTTTTTTTGGAGGGGTTTTTGCTATAGGGCACGTGCACTTGCCAGAAGGACAGAGAGAGACAGAGAGACAGAAAGCAAGAAATCACCCCCCAGGGAGGATGACTATTTTGCAATTCCTTCTCCTCCGTTCTCCTCTCAGGATCTTGGGCACGCACACACATGCACCCGGCATGAGTTTAAGCCACTGGGTCTGGGACTCAAACAACGGTCGACTACATGGGAGTTCAGCGACATAGCCATTACGCTAACTGCTGGTCCCAATATTGAAATTCTTTCTTTTTCTTTTGTTTTTTTTTCTTTCTCACTGTTCTGTTTCATTTTAAAATGCAGCACATAAACCCTAGGCTTATTTTCTAAAGTGATAAATTTAATTCAGTTTTTGAACACTTATTTATTTTGAGAGAGAGAGAGAGAAAGACAGACACAGGTACCTGCATAGAGTCTCAAATACCGTGAATTTAACCCATCCCTGGCCTTCTAGCCAGCTGAGATCACAGGTCTACCCGTAGGTATACCTGGTGTGTTCAAGGTATCCTGAGACCTGTGCCCTAGATGGTCCAGTACTGTGCACTAATACCCTACTCCTGCATCCCGTGACTGAGCCTAATATAGTTCTCATTTTCTATATTTTGACATCTCTCATTCATTTTTTTAAAGAATTGTTTATTATTATTACGTATAGTTTCAATTTGACCAGAGAGAGAGAGAAGGAAAGTGAGAAAGCAAGCTACCAGGTCCAGGACTTGAACCCTGGTTGGCCATGTGGGAGTCCAGTGCTTTAACTACCACTCTACCTGGTGGCCCCGGTATTGCTAATTCTGACACATCATTATATTCTGTGACGTTTTAGATTTAGGCATTATAGTCATTGTTTCTTAGCTAATATAGTACCTAGGCAAGTATTGGATTTCTTTTGTCTTACAGTAACCAGGTGACTGTTGAAATTAATTTTTATCCTTTTGTTTTCTTTTCAGAAAAAATTGCCTTTGACAACACTGGCTCAGTGTCTGATGGAGGGGTCAGCTATCCTGGGAGATGACACACTTCTCGGGTAAGGTGATACCAGGTATGGGGTGCTGTCAAATCTAGGAAAGTCCCCCACCATAAAAGGGGGATGGCAGCTCCTCAGGAAAGCACCAAGAATACCTGAATTCTGGCTGAGGACTTGGGTAGGGAAGGGTAAAATATTACCATTGAGAAATCAAAACCTTTACAATTGTATTGTCTGTGCAGCGAAGCAAGTCCCAGGTGAATAAGTTAACACGGAAACTGAGAAGGACAGGGGAACTCCCTCCGACTGCAATTGAAGTGTACGTGCAACCTCTCAATATCAGAAACAGAACTTCTGGGGTTCCCAGAACCACCCTTGCTAATTTTTAGCTTACCATGAAACAAACTAACAGTAGAATCTTACTGTGACAGGACCAGCCGACACAGTCAGTACTCTAAGAACTGAAAATAGAACCATATAAACGATAACGTAAAATAATTATTTAAAATGAAATTTAAAAATTAAAGACCCAAAATTCCTTAACAATTAACCAATAAAAATAAAAAAAAAAAAAAAAAAGATGAGAATTGAAGAGCATGCACTTGAAGCTGACCCACATGGGCAGGTCCTGACTGTGCCCAGAGACCTTCCTGAGTCTGCCCGGCACCTGTGTGCCCACAATCTGGTGCTGTGTGAGATTCAGGGTGGACGGTGGTGTTAAGAGCTTGTTTGTGGTACTGTTTGTCTGTCTGTCTCTCTCTTTGTGTGTATGTACATGTGTTTTTTTTCTCTGTCTCTGTTTTTCCTGGAAGAAATAAGTAAACTTAAAAGAAGGAAAAGGCAAGGAGTGCATGTAGCTGGAATTTAAACATGAGTGACTAGGGCCCAGCAGGTGCCTCGGTGGGTAAGGTGCTGGATTCCCACATGGCTGGCTACAGTTTGAGTCTCTGACCCAATTGCTTGAAAATCACACCAGTTGTATGTGCGTGCATGCCCAAAATCCCAAGAGGAGAATGAAGGAGAAGGATTGCAGTGTGGCCATGCCCCTGGGGAGTGATTTCTTTTCTTTTTTCTTTTTTTTTTTTTTTTTTTGAGAGGTTTTTGCGATAGGGCATGTGTGCTCGCCAGAGAGACAGAGAGAGACAGAAAACGAGAAATCACCCCCCAGGGGGGTTGGCCATGCCACAATCCCTTCTCCTCCATTTTCCTTGGGATCTTGGGCACGCACGCACACATGCCCAGTGTGAGTTTAAGCCACCAGGTCCGGGACTCGAACCATGGTCGGCCACAAGGGAGTTCAGCCACATAGCTGTTACGCTAACTGCTGGTCCCACGAGTGATTTCTTACTTTACTTCTCTCTGTCTCTCTCTGTTTCTTGCTGGCAAGCACATGTGCCCTCTGGGAAAAATAAATAAATAAATAAATAAATAAAGTGAATGTATTGTAGGGGAGAAGAAAAATTATTTTCCCCTCTAACCCTCCTAGACTCGTTATCTGGGACCCTTCAAATTAGACTGACAAAAGATAGATTAACAAGAAAAAAAATACTAATTGTATTAATATGTATAACACATATGCTTGAAAAAACACAGAGATTAAAACATGGGTGTAAGTATAGTGTCTCCATAGAAGAACGAGCACTTTTAGAGAGGTGACAAGACAAAGAAAAGGACTCTGAGTTCTCAGCGTGGTGGGTCATGGGAAGGTTAATATGTGGGGAACTGATGGCCGATATCTACTGGTTAGTGAGCTTTGTTAGGGTTCGTCTGTGCTGTGTCCCGACTGGTAGGGTCTAGACTTGTCTCCAGGGATTAACTCTTGTCCTTCCTGGTAAGGAGGTAAAGCAGGTGGAAGTGGGGCAGGACTTTACAAATTGAGGACTTGACTTTAGGCACATAGAGGGAGAGCAGAGAGTCCCCCCCCCCCCCCCGCGGGCGGAGGTATTTATTTGCCATAAAGTGCATGTGCTTGCCAGAGAGAGAGACAGGCAGAGACAGTGAAAGGGAAAGTGGGAAGTCACCCCGACAGGGGGAATGGCCATGCCACAGTCCCTCTTCCATTGTCCTCCTGGGATCTTGGGCACACACATACACACACATCTGGCATGATTTTCAGGTCACTGGGTCCAGAACTCGAACTGCAGTCAACCATGTGGGAGTCCAGCAACATAACTGCTATGCCATCTGCTGGCCCCAGAGAGGTGTGTGGTTTTTTTTTGTTTTGTTTTGTTTTGTTTTTCCGGATATCTTTCTGCTTCTCAATTGTCTTCAGCTCAAAACAATCCTTATGCTCAAGTGGCATGTTTTGGGGTGGGTGCATATTCCGTTGTCCTTCAGTTTAAAGAACCATAAATGAACATTGAATTTAAAAATAGCAGTTGTAGGGGCTTGAACGCAAAAATGAAACTCAAATTCTAGACTCTAATAGCATGAAAGATTGGAGGAGGAATCAGTGGTACAAAGTCTTGTACTGTTTGAAAGGAAAATAAAGATTTATTCTTAAATTTAATGTCAAGTATGCCTCTTCGAAAAGTAAGAGCTAACCGCAAAAAGAATCGAAATAGTGTGTATAATTTCCAGGCAAGTGGAAGTATTAAAAGGAGAAAACAAAACAAAACCACAGAAATGAATGAAAGGAAAAGGGCAGGACCAGCATGTGGCATGGTGGTTAGGGAGATTGGATTCAAATGGCTGACCACTGCATGGTTCAAGTCCTGGAACCCAGTGGCTCAAGAAATGTGTGTGTGGGTAGGGGTTGTGTGTGTGCCTAAAATTCTAAAAGGAGAGAGAAATGGAAGAGAAGGGATGGTTGCGTGACGTTCTCCACGCAGTGCGCTTTCTCACTTTCTCTTTCTCTCGGGTAAGTACATGTGCACTCTGGCAATTAAAAAAGCAAAAGGGGAAGGTGAATGTAAGTGAAGAAAAAGCTCAGTACTTAGAAAACAAAATGAAAGTGACAGCGATTATTACATGTGTTTAACTGTAGTCATCTCGTAAGAGACCTAAGTGGAATCAACTCAGCTGTTTAAAATATGGAGAATCTCAGGTGAATACACATAAAACCCTGTTGTATGGTATTTTTAAGAGGCATTTCTAAAACATGACACTGCAAGATAGACAGTAAAAATGGCAGAGTGAACACACATCTGATTCCTCTTCTAAGATCTGTGGAACTATAATAGAGGGATTTAAAACATAGTACTAATAATACATAAACCCACAGTGGCAGGGAAAAAGACAACAGCAACACAGTGTTGTGAGCTGCAAAGCTCACAAATGAATGACCCAGTTCTGCCTTGGCAAGGCCTGAAAGCTGACTCTCAAGCCAGAAGTAGGATTTGTAGACCAACACAGTTTACACCATGAAACGCCTACAGAGCTCGGGAATTGGCTTCACCAGGGATCTCTGGAAGAGTGGGTGGAGTGAGTGATTAGAATTATGAATGTGAGTTGAGAACCTTTCAGGTACAGCTTGGATCAGTAAAAGCCTGCCCCCTCTTCACACCTCTGGGAGACATTCATTGCTCATCCTGCCCCACCAGAATCTGGAGCTTTATCCTCTAGAGGGCATAAAACAGAGTGTCTCTGGAATGGGAGGCTGGCTCAGTGGAGTGTAAGGCACAATCAATAAAGAAGATCAATTGATCTCAGTATACCAGATGCTGAGATTCCTCAGCCCTCCTTTTCTTCTCACGGGGCCCCCCAGACCTTTTACCCTCCTGGCAGGAAATGAGATGAGTCTTCTCTGGGGAATCTGATCAGCCCAAAAGGAAGGATCGAAAGCTCTGAGGGCATTGCAAAGGGCAGTGCCCCAGTGAGTGGCCCAGCCAGGTCATGCCGTCCCAAGCTTCACTCACATACTCCGGCCTTGCAGTCTCCGTCCTTATATATAGACAGTCACCCGAGATCACTGGACATCTGAGGAAGGGCGCTCATCAGAAGACCACAACAGTTGGAAAGCTGGGTGGACATGGAAGAAATAGACATTGTGTGTGGGGGGGGGAGATTTCAGGAAAACGATTGCATATGTTTTTAAGTGCTAGGGAAGATAATACTAGGGGACTTCAAAAAAAATTTGTGGAAAAATTGTATTAAAGTGTACGTTAATTTTGGTGTGAACAGTTTCTTCATACTATGCATTTTCATGAAGTTCTTTGAAGACGCTCTCATTCATCTCTAAGATTTTAAAAAGGATGTTAATACAAAGTATTTACAGGAAAGAAATATTCAGAGGTTAAAAACATGCTTATAGAAATGAAATGAATCTTAGATCTGTGGTAGCAGATATAAAATTCTCAGCAGAAAAATTCGGAAGATAAATATGAAAAAATTATCCAGAAAAATCAAGCAGGAAGACAAAGATGGAAGATAGAAAAAGTTAAGAAATTGGATGACCAATCTAGGAAATTTTATGCCTGTATAAACAGGAGTTCTTAGAAAAGGAGAGAAAGAAGAAATAATAATGACAACAATAATAAGCAATAATAATTTAAAGGTATTTTTCAGTCACAAACAACATGAGTTTCTACGCTGAAAGGACCCAGGGAGCTCCAGATACAGGGGAGAAAATTAAACCTATGCCAGGGTTCACTGTCATGAGTACTGATGTCAAATGCTTTTACAGCTTTTGGGAACCAGCAGTTAGCGTAATGGCTATGTCGCTGGACTCCCATGTAGTCGACCGCGGTTCGAGTCCCGGACCCGGTGGCTTCAAACTCACACCGGGCGCATGTGCGTACATGCCCAAGATCCTGAGAGGAAAATGGAGGAGAAGGGATTGTGGCGTGACCATCCCCCCTGGGGGGTGATTTCTCGCTTTCTGTCTCTCTGTCTCTCTCTGTCTGTCTGGCGAGTGCACGTGCCCTATAGCGAAAAACCTCTCAAAAAAAAAAAAAAAGCTTTTACAACTTCCTAGAGAGAAAAATTGTCACTTGTTTATTGTGAGAGATTTTTGCTATCAGGCTTATATGCTTGCTGGAGAGACAGAGAGAGACAGAAAGTGAGAAACCGCCCCTCGGGGTGATGGCCACGCCACAATCCCTTCTCCATTCTCCTGGGATTTGGGGCATGCACGCAAACATAGTCGGTGGACGTTTCAAGCCGCTAGGTCCAGGACTTGAATCGTGGTTGATTATGTGGGAGTCCAGTGATGTAACCATTACATCTGCTGGTCCCCCAGAATTGTCATTTGTAAAGAATCAAAAATACGGGGCCAGCAGGTGGCATGGTAGTTAAGGTGCTGCACTCCCTGGTGACCGACTATGGCTTAAGTCCTAGACCTGGTAGCTTGCTTCCTCTCTCTTATATGAGTGCATGTGCCCTATCGCATATTAAAAACATAATAATAATAGATAAAATTAAATAATTCTTCGGAAAGAAAAAGAATGGAAAATGTAAATGTTAGACTTACCAAAGACAACAATGGAAACTAGTTTTTTAAGCAGTGCCTTCAAAATTCTGAAAGAAACGAATACTCGACATAAAATTCTACATGTTAGTCAAGAATGTAAGGGGAAAGGAGAAAGAAATATCATGCATATGGTCTTAGGAACTGACGTCCCATGACTCTTCCTCAGAACAATGAAGTCAGCGGCGCCTCAGAGCGAGAAAGTGACCAGTAAAGAGGTAGAGTCAGGGTAACACTTAACATCATAAGACAGAGGAAGAGAGGAAGAGAGAATTCCAAGAAATAGGGGAAGGAATTCCAGGAAGATAGCTGTGCGCTAGGGACGGAAACTCAGGTGAGATTGGCCGAGGCCCAGGAGAGACCAATTCCAGTTGAAACTTAGGCGTAACAATTATGTTTTAGTCTGAAGAGACGAATGAGAAAAGTGACAATGGCCTTGACCCATACTTTGGTTGATTTGTAAAAACTTTTTCCGTGAGTTTCAGTAAACATGCAAAGGGACACAGGCCTGTAATGCTTTGAAGAGTCAATTAACATGTTTGAAATGCTGTATCCTCTCATCTAGGTACGTGACATAGTTTTTTTTTTTTGAGAGGTTTTTGCTATAGGGCGTGTGTGCTCTCCAGACAGACAGACAGAGACAGAGAGACAGAAAGCAAGAAATCACTCCCCAGGGGGAATGGCCACGCCGCAGTCCCTTCTCCTCCATTCTCCTCTCGGGATCCTGGGCATTCATGCACATGCACCCAGCGTGAGTTTTAAGCCACTGGGTCCAGGTCGTGGGAGTCCAGCGACATAGCCATTACGCTAACTGTTGGTCCCAGTGGCATAGTTTTTGACTCACTCACGTCTCTGTCGTTTGCTTTTTATTACTTGATTTTTGGAATAGTTTTTTCCTACTTTTTCTATTGGATTCTTATCTACCCATCCCTAGAGTAACTACTTTTCATAGTTTAGGACTCAGGGTTCTCTTCCTATTAGGATTTACTGGACTAGAGAATTTGGATGCTGACTGTCTAATGGGTGGAATTTAGCTAGTTTCTCCAGTATTCCCAGGGGAGATAGAAGTAGCTAGCTCATTGTAGGCCTGTAGATTTGCATGCGTGAGTCTGTTTTCTCCACATCTCCCCTTTTGCCTCACGCGTGAGAGAGTGCTCAGTGCCATTTGGAAATACTGAGCGTTTCAGAGATGAAAACGGCAGGTGCAGATTGGTCCAAGGGCTGCCATGGAAATCAGCCAGCTTATGGCCGCAGTTCAGCGGGTTCCAAGGGATGAGAAGAACGCGGGTGCACATCTTCGACAGCACGTGTGTGTGTATAATGGATGCTTTTTTCCCTCTTGAATTGCAGGAAGATGCTGAAACTGTGCGGGGAGACGGAGGACAAGCTGGCTCAGGAGCTGATCCACTTCGAATTGCAAGTAGAGAGAGACGTGATCGAGCCCCTGTTTTTGCTGGCCGAGGTGAGCAGTAAGAATGAGGTCAGGCTTACGTGATGGGGGAGTAAAAGCCTTCGTTACTCTGCCTCCAGTCTTGGGATTGTTTCTGTTTCATTTCACGTGCTGCCCTTAATTTACATCAGGGATTATACTACCACACATGTGGGCAAGATTCTCCAAAATGACAATACAGCCGATGCCGCCCCTTCCCCACCCACCCTCTTCTCTGTAGAATTCCTGTGCGTAAAAGCGCACAGCTGACCGCGTTACCTCCTTCCCCACCAGAATCAGGGCGGCCATTGCCGCCCGCCCTCTACCTGTCCCAAGTCTTCGGTGAAATGAGCAGCTGCCCCTTCTCACAGGGAGGCTGGGGGCCCAGTCCTCAGGCCTGTAAGACCCTTCGTGGTTTATGTTTAAATAGGTCCCTTCTCTCTTAACTTTAAAGGCCACGAAGCTGTTTTATCTAAAAGAATCCTTAATATCTGGATGAAAATTTGACTTGCTTCAACCAAGTCAGATTTTATCAAGAGAGATAGGAAAGTGCTGAGAAGGTTTCATTGTTTCAAACCCTGAACCCTTCCATTGCCTTTGTTCTTGTTTTTGTTCGTTTGTTTTAGTTTTTGCTATAGGGCACGTACGTGCACTTGCCAGAGAGAGAGAGAGAGAGAGAGAGAGAGAGAGAACTCCTCCCGGGGGATGGCCACACCACATTCTCTTCTCTTCCATTCTTCTCTCGGAATCTTGGGCATGTACACATAGGTGCCCAGCATGATTTTCAAGCTGCTGGGTCTGGGACTCAAACCGCACAGCCCCCCTTGTGGGATGCAGTGCCTTCATCTCCACGCCACCTTCTGGCCTACACTTTTTTTAAAAAAGAAAATTCCCAGTAGACACATGCACTCATCCTCCCAATGAGACCTGGTCACACCTCAGTCCTGTTTCTTCTGTTTCTTTATCCTAGACATGTTTTTCAAGCCAGTGGACGAGGATTCAAACCTGGTTGGCCCTGGGACTTCTGGCTTTCCATGTACAGCCCTTAACCGCTGCCCTAGGGGCCAGCCTCCTTCTAGTTGCCTTGAATTGGTCTCACGAAAGCTAAGCAGTGCTGCCAGCTAGGACTCCCTGCGATGATGGGAGCTTGCACGGTTTGGTAGCCTTTCGTGATTTGTTGAGCACCTGAAATGTGGTTACGGCCACTGAAGAGTTCAGTTTTTTTTTTTTTTTTTAATTTTACTTTATTTTTGTTTATCTAAATGTAGAATTGCATAGCCACACATGACTGGAGGCCACGATGTCAAACAGTATCATCCTAGACCTCTTCTAGGTCACCTTCAGCACCCACGCATCCCCTGATACCTTTTCTGGGACACGAGCATCCGGGTACATAATTTACCGATGAGCCTAAAGGACTCAGGAGAAACTCCTGGATGTGGTACTGAGAAGCACTGGGCTTCTCAGAGACTGTCCTAGACAGAGGTCGTCCCTGAGCCTGGAGCATTCACACAAGGTCCTTTTCTCTTTGTGATGGTGGTCTGGGCTCCAGCCAAAGCCTGAAGCAAAGCCAGGATCAGGCACGACCTGGGTGCAGACTCCTTGGGTGTAGCTGGTGCAGGATGCCCGCGTGGCTCTCGGCTGCGTCTGTGTGCTGAGGTGACTCTGGCTGCCCAGTTGCTATCCCTCCTTCCTGTTACAAGTTGTTACACTCAGTCCATGACTCAGCCCGGCTTGGAAGGGTGAATAGAAAATGCTCCATAGAGCCCTGGATTTTCCTCACGTTATTTGCCTATTTAAAAACCGCAGCCCGAGATGCTTTTAGTTCCCTTTACGGCCAGTTTTCCTCTTGAATTCTCACATCCTGCCCTACTTTCGCTGGGCCTGGAACCAAAACCCTGCACTGGAATGTACTGCCAAACCATTTTTAGAAAGAAAAATATAAAAAGAACATTCGCATACAACCAATATGGAAGAACTCTTAGCTGAGAAAAGGTTGATTCATTATTTACACTGGAAAAATCTTCCCTGATTTCTAGAAATGTAAAATAGATGTCCTAATTGCAGTCCTCGTAACATCTGAGGTCTCCTGAGACCGGCTCCCTGGATCCTTCGGCTGTCTGTCTTGAAGGAGATCTGTGCGTCAGACCTGGCTGTTTGACTCCCTTCATCTCTGCCCTCTCTGTGCCCTTGTGGAAGCAGAGCTAGGCTAAAGCTGCTATTTTTGCTATCTGCAGCCAGAGCAGGAACATGGCAGGCGTAGGTGTGCAGGGGAGCCCAGAACTCCTGGGATGATCTGAGTTGATGGGTGGCCTGGCTGCTGTTTAGAGAACAGAGGACAGAACTTAGCTCAGAAAAAGGAATCAAGAATTTCATGTGGTATTGACTGAAAGGCACAAAGTTTTACTTAGGCAAGATGAGAAAATTCTGGAGCGCTAACATACAGCATGGTGTCACTATAGTTAACGACGCCACAATGTAGAGCTGAAGTTTGCTGAGGACCAGCCCCATAGTCTAGTGGTTCAGGGAGCCAAATCCCACATGGCTGACCACAGTTCAAATCAGCCCCAGCAACTCGAAAAACATGCCATTTACTTGTGTGTGTGCCCCAAATACTTACAGGATGGAGAAATGGAGGGAAAAAGATCATGGCATAACCTCAAGACAGGGGGGCGGCTTACTCCCCCTCCCTTTCTATGGCTGTTTCTCTCTGGTGAGCACATGTGCCCTCTGATAATTAAAACAAACAAACAAACAAACAAACACCCCAGAAACTTGGGTCCAGTGGCATAATGGTTGCATCGCTGGACTCTCATGTAGTCGACCGTGGTTTGAATTCAGACTCAGCAACTTAAAACTCACACCAGGCACATGTGTATGCATGCCCAGACAACAATAGAGGAAAAGGGATTTAAGCATGGCCACCCCCCTGGGGTGTGATTTCTCACTTTCTCTCTGTCTCCTTGGCATGAACACATGCTCTATAGCAACTATCTCTCAAAAACAAAACAAAACAAATCAGAAATTTGGGCCAGCAGGTGGCTTGGTGGTTAAGGTCCTGGACTCCCACATGGCCAATTGCAGTTCTAGTCCCGGACCTGGTAGCTTGCTTTCTCACTTTCTCGCCCTCTCTTTGTCTCTGTTTTGTGAGTACATATGCCTTATAGCAAATTAAAAATAGTAATAAATTAAATTAAATTAATCTTAAAAGAAAAACAAATTCTCTGAGAGAATAGTTCTTAAGTATTTTCAGCACACAAAAAAAATGGTAACCGTGTGAAGTGATAGATATGTTAATTAGCTTGATTGTAGTAATCATTTCAGGGTATATACATATATCCCAACATCAGCTTATGTGCCTTAAACATATGCAATTCTTGTTTGTGAATTATACCTCAACAAGGTGGAAAGGGCAAAAAAAAAAAAAAAGGATTTTGCGAATAAGGATTAGGAGACATCAAGCAAACTTCTTGAGTTCTTGTCAGTCGTTTTTAAACAAGTATTCTAAAGAATAGTTCTTAAAGAATGAATCTGAAGTTTCAGTTGGATCATGTATGTTACTTATCTCCTCTGACCACAGGTGGAAATCCCAAATATACAAAAGCAGAGGAAACATTTAGCTAAGTTGGTGCTGGACATGGATTCTTCGCGAACCAGGTAGAGTGTCTTTGCTTTCTTTTTTGCTTTTTTTAAAGGATGATAATCCTACTAGGGGACAGGGGCTTGTGTGTGCACGAATGTGTTTTCATTCACAAGTTTTTCTTAATACCTAGTGTGTGCAGACACTGGAGATCACAGTACTGAAGCAGGGATATGGGTCCCACCCCCTTAGAGACTGCAGTCTAGTGCTGGGGACAGACACCTGGCCAGGGAACAAGCGTGACCGTGTTAGACAGCCGTAGGTCATTGAAGGTAGTGATGGAGAAGGGGTAGGGTAACATTGAGAAGGCTTTTTATTGTGTCCGTGTCACTTAGTCTGAGACCTTAACGGGAAGGAGGCAGCCACGCAAAGATCTGGTGCAAATTGTCTACAGAAGGAGGACAGCAAATGCAAAGGTCCCAAGATGGGAAGAGGCTGGACTTACTCCAGGTGCAGGAAGAAAGCTGGCATGGCTGGGGCAGAAGGGACGAAGAGCAGAGTGGTAGGAGATGAGATCCAGGAATTAGGAAGAGTGATATTGCATTGCTGTAATGATGGGAGAATGTCTAATTCTTAGATCTGCTTCCCCTTTCTTGAAGCTAATGATCATGCTTGAAGAATCCCCTCTCCTCCATTTCTCCATCTTCTTCGGGATTTGGGGCGCACTTGCACACACGCCCAGCATGTTTCTCCTTTCCGTGGCTATTCGAAACCTGAGGCCCTTCCGAGAGAGTAAAGTTCCTGCATGCAGGGAAGTGCCAGAGCCCCTATTCGATGCTGTCAGAGGTGGTGGTTGTGCATGTCTGCCTTCTGTTCTTACCTTGGAGGCTGTGTGTGTTTGCGTGTTGAAAGAATACAGGCTGGTGAGTATTCCTATGGAAGGAACTGTGTGCACTCTACCTTAGGTCCTTCGTAAATCCGTTTTAATAGTCTCCACATCTTGTTTTACATTTTCTTGAAGTAAAGAAACAAAACCAAAGTGTGCTTGGGCGGAGGGATGTAGGATAAAGAGTCTTGCAACAAGACTCAGAAGGTCAGATACCAAGATCCAGCTCAGCTTCTCCAGAGCATCAGTTTCCCTCAGCCGTGCACAGGCAGTAACCTTTCTTAGTCAACTGAGGAGGGCGCTTGGAGTATTAAGTAAGATCATGTATGTTTCATCACTTCCCAAGTGCTTTATAACAAGAAGCTGATACTGTTACTGTCGGGTTGTTGGAAAAGTCATAGTGCCTTTTCCCATAGAAAAAATACATAGAAAAACCAGCAGATAGCATAATGGTTATGTCGCTGGACTGCCACGTAGTCAACCACGCTTCCAGCCCCAGACCTGGTGGCTTAAAATTCATGCTGGGTGGGTGTGAGTGTGTGCTCAAGGTCCCAAGAGGAGAGTGGAGGAGAAGGAATTGCGGTATAGCCATTCCCTCGGGGCTGGCGGGGAGGGTGGTGCTTTCTTGCTGTCTGTCTTTCTGTCTCTGTCTCTCTAGTGAGTGCATATGCCCTAGAGCAAAAACCTTTTTCTAACAAAAAAGAAAGAAAAGAAAAAAATGCATAGAAAAAGTAGTCTTTTAAAATAAAAATGCATAGAAGAAATAACAGTATTTTTTCTATGCAAAAATACATCATGATTTTTCTAACAACCCAATAGTTTGTGCATCTGGAAGTCTGAGAGGTTTAGGAAGTCCCCCAAGACCAGAAGCAAAGTGGTAAAATCAGCAGATAAACAAGATTTTTCTTTATTTTTTTTTCTTCAATTTGCTAGAGGGAGCATGCACTCACCAGAGGAAGAAAGACAGAGAGAGAGAGAGAAAAAGAAAGTAAGAAAGTTCCCCCCACCGTGGGGGATGACATGTGCACATGCACCCAGCGTGTTTCTTTAGCTGCCAGCCAGGACTCGAACCACACCGTTGGCCAAGTTGAAATCTAGCTGCCTTTACCACCACGCTACCAGCTGACCCAAAACAAGGGTTTCTTCGATTCATTTCATGTGTCCCGCACCTCATTCCACAGGAATGATTTTGCCTTCTGTGTCTGTACGTCTTTTAAAAGAGTAGGTTACTTTTTCAGAATACATTTTTTTAAAAGAAATCTAATAGCAGTAACATGCACTGGAAGGCAAAGCTCTTTGCTGCGAATATTAAGTAAGCATAGCATTGAACAGATGGAAGCAAAGCCAATGTTATTAAATTTTAGATCCTGTGGACTGTAGAAGGCTATCATTGTGAACTCACCTCCCTTTGTCAGAAAGAAGAGGAGGAGGCATGGAAGAGGTGTGACAGTTATTCTGGCGGCACAGCTGAGATTCTGTCCTTGGTGTGCTTGGAGGAAGGAAGAACAGCATAAAGGGGAGTGTTGCTTTGCTGTGTCCTTGGTGCATCTCAGAGCATCAGTGCCCATTTAAATAATAATTATTATTTAGTTAGTTCCATTTGCTATTATTATGTTTTAATTTGACTAGAAAGTTACAGAGCAAGAGAGGAAGGGAAAGCGAGAAAGGAAGCTGCCAGGTCTGGGACTTGAACCGCAGTTGATCATGTGGGAATCCAGTGCCTTTAACTGCCATGCCACCTACTAGCCCCTTAAGACCTATATTTCAATAACCATGTAAGATTATCAAAAACATATCCCATTGCTAAGATGCAGTAGACACCATGCTCCTGAGTTTGTGGAGTGATGTCCTTTATGAGAACCTGGGTGTTAGCTCTGAGACCTCTTCTTTGCTTCTGCAAGACAGACCTGAGTGTTCAGCAGCCCTCTGGTCTGGACTGAAAGTTAGCATCAAAGCACATCATTAGCAGGGCGCTTCCTCATGGTTGTTTGGTCGTCATGTAAGAGAATGGGGTTACGCTCACGGTCCATCTTGTCTAGTTTTGTGTTTGATGCTGGGGCCATGTGGTGTATAGGTTCTGAAAGTCGCGGGAAGTGTCATCAGGAATCTCCCCTCTAAGAGTCAGCACATTTTTTTCTTATCTTCAGCTTATTATCTCTCGTACACTGGTAAGGAAGTACCTCTCTCCTCTATCCAGATCTATGTGTTTCTAAGCTTCGACTTGGACCATTTACAACCTTTGTTGTTTTAGACTAACAAAGTCCTTTTAGTAGTAGATTATCTTCATATGAAACTGATCTACCTCCATGATCACATCAGTGGTTTTTTAGCCCATTTTGTGTAGCTATAAGTTGAGGAGGGGATTGCTTTGGAGGGATTTTGGCAGTACCGTTCCCTCAAAAATGGAGTGTGTTTTAGTAATGATGGTGCAAGAGCTAACCCAAGGCCTCAAGTTATCGTTTGTCCATCAGCTTAGGTTATGCATAACTGGTAAAAAAAAAAAAAGGGCTTTCTTAGCAAAGGTTTACTTCTCTCACTTTATTCTCAGACTGACAATTTATAGCTCGAGTTTATGTGTCTTTTAGGACCTTGCTAAAAGCCACAGAAGAAGCCAGCCCACCCAACTTCCTGCCATTTCCCCTAACTCTTGGTCACCGTGAAGACTGCATCCCAGGCTACAGCAGTGGGATAAGGCCGGAAGCTGTGCCATGGGATGGCAGGGAACACCAGCTACTCCTGGGATAGCTGGCTTCTCGGTGCCCTCCTCCCCCAGCCCACACTCACCCTCCATTAGGCCCTCCCCTCGAGCACTGTACTACCAATCACAAAGCCTCCTTCAGTCCTGTCTATCCTTCATGAATGATGTCATCAGGGACTAAAACGGAGCATTTCCATGTAGAAACACTCTGCCTTTCAAGAAAAGAAAGAACTTTTTATATATGATCACGTCTTGATCAACAGTTCCATGACTGGGACTTTGAACTCTACCACCACTCTGAAACACCATCAAATCTCACTAAGTCTAAATCTAATGGGTACACTTGTCACTATTCAAGTAGATATGATTTTTCTGCTTCAAAAATCAATTATATAGGCCTTAATATGAAGTGTGATGCTTAGAAGATGAATAAAAAAATTGTACTGGGGTGTCAGAAAAGTAATACATTTTTGCGTGAAAAAATAGGGAAAATACATCATGACTTTTCCGGTGACCCAATAGATAAGAAGGACGGAAGTGCACTCAAAGGAGCTTTACACTGAATTAAAGATTTGAATTGAACTGAATGTGAATGAAAAACAAATGTCTTTTCTGTGTTAGGTTTGCCCGTAGTTAAAGACAAGGCCCAATGCACTCCCATATCTCTCAAGGTTAATTGTTCTGGGCCCCGGTATTTCGTTTCTATTTAATAGCTGCTGTTGGTTCTTCTGGCTATGGAATGAGTTGTTTTTCCCCCACCTCCAAATTCACATGTGGACACTCTAACCCCCGATGTGAATGTATTTGGAGATTGGGCTCTTAGGAGGAAATAGAGTTAAATGAGGTCATAAGGCTAGGGTGGAGAAGAGGGAACTCTTTCTTTCTGTGTACTCAGAGGAATAACTGTGTGAGGACAGCAAGGTGGCATCTGTCTGCAAACCAGGAAGAGAGGTCTCACCAGAACATGAACTTTGCCAAAAGGCTCCAGGGCTGACAGAAAATAAACTTCTGGTATTTAAGCTGCCCAATCGGTGGTGCTTTGTCATGGAAACCCAAGCAGACTACTACACCTGCTTTCTTTGAGAGCAAGTAAATGAGTGTCAGGAAGACAGGAGGTTCTGGAATAGAAAACTGGGCAGCTTATGGAATTAGGAGAAAGCGAGGAGCTAGAAGTGGAATTCTGGATCTGTGGCAGGTTTGAGTCCCTTTGGGTGTGGCACTAGAGTCTTGGTTGCCACCAGGAGCCCTTCCTTATCTCCCGCTCTGCTCCTCTCCATGTGTGGGTATTTCCCTCAGATCTGTTTTCCTCATGGTCATTGGATATCCCCTGTGCTCGTGTCTCACCATTTTGAACCTTGCTCCTTGTGTCCTGCTTATGAGTGCAAGGGAGGGGCTCCATCTGTGTGGACTTTGCTTGCATGTCCACTGGCTTGAACTGCCAGTCACCCAAGGATATGAAGGGTGGGCACAGGCTTGTCTTACCTCTGGGGCCC